CAGGGGAAAAGGTTATTGCCTAGCCTCCATCTAAGGATAAATACCAGCATGAGACCAATAGTCAACAAGTGCCATAAAGGAAAGCTGAAAGGATCCGCCTAAAGGATAACAATAAAAAAATTCGCTGTTGTAGATTTTCCGGGTTGTATGGCTGTGGTCTTGGCATTGTAGGACCTGACGTTTCGCCAGTAGCTGTGACTGGCATCCTCAGAGGTATAACACAGAAAGATGGAGTACTCTCTGTGTCAAGGTGAGAAGAAAAAAAATTGATTAGAAATAGGGAAATACAGAGTCTTGATGTCCATCAAAGACTGAACTTTCAGGGTACATCTAGTATTTCATTCCGTCTTGGAGAGAGGACATGCACTGATGGGACATTCAGTAATCCAGTTGAATGCCAACTGGTTTTCTTAGGCTTTCCACTCAGCCTAAGGCAGGGGGCTTCCTTGGCTTTCATCCAGAGAAGGTGTGCTTGTGTCTGACATGCTCCCATCTGCATGAAACTGAAGGAACCACCTCCAACCAGCAGAGTGGAGTGTTTCTGGAGGTGGGAGAAGCTGGAAGCTCTATCAGCAGCAAAGCTGTTCATAGATCTGGATGCTCTGCCAATAATGAAGCCTCTAGGTTGGTATCAACCCACTCCCTTCAATATTCCTAGGAGCCTGAAGCTCCAGATCCAGCACAAACCAGATCTAGTGGTGGCTGGAAAACAGGAAGAGTTGGTGGGGGTGGGAAGTTTTGCTTTCGAGAAGCCTCTTGGTCAAAAAAACAAGAGACCCAGGCAGCGGTCCTGCTTTCTTCACTAGAAGCAGGATGAAAGCCAAATGTGCGCCTTTCGTCATGAAAGTCTAAAGTTGCACATCACTGGATGCTCTGCCCTGCCCGAGAACATGAATTCAGAAAACAAGTCCAAGCTAAGACAGTAAGAAGTCTTCTATGCAACCCCAGTTCGCAAACACATTTGTCATTTGGGTAGTATACCCAAAAAAAGGTGATTGTACACATGCATGCTGTGTTTGTGATGACGCATTTCACGACTGTGAAGAAACAAGGTTTGAACACACGGATGGTTGCCTATGGAAGGACTAGCAACCACAACTCTGTCGTTCGACAGCAGCATCTCCCCACCCCGTAAGAGGAGCATTTGATATAGGAGTCATGGAAACATTGCATTCCTTTAAAAATTGGACTTGCAGATCATATAATGGTTTGTAGAATGGCATTCACCAGCAGTAGCCACCCTGTTCTCAAGCACTTGTGTTGTGCTTTAGCATGTAAGGTCATGTTGTAGGATCACCCCCCCACACACACACACAAAAGGATGGAGTACGAATTCGACTAACATCACATGCCCATGGTAAGCTAGAAAAGCTTCGGATCATGATCATGCTAGACGCTACCAGACGTATCAATACTAGAACACGAAGACAAAACACACACACACACACACACACGCTGGATCCTGGGATTTGTCAGTGGAAAGCACTGGTAGTAGTGAATCTTCCTGGCTTTCTTTCCCCTCAGGCAGTCTTTCCCTCCCTCAGGGAAGTTTTTCTGGGGTCATGGAACCCACAGTAGCCATGTGGGTCCAGGATGGCTGCAATGGGGAAGGGGGCAAAATCACATTCTTCTGCCTCTTAGACGAGCAGAGCTCTTCTGACAGAAGAAGCCCCTCTCTACTGCAGCCTCCTGATGACATATGTGGCTACTGACTTTCCTAGGGCCAAAAATAGCTGTAGAGGGCAAGGAAAGCCCAGAGGACTGTGATCCTTGCACGATCTCTACAGGGTCCTTTCACTGGATCCAGCCTCAAGTCACAAATAAAAATAGGAGTCTCAAAATGCATGTAAATAGGCCTCAAATGATTGTGGTCCTTTTAAAAGTGGTTTACTGGGCCGAGGAGCAGATGAGCACTAGTTCTGCCCTGGGAATCTTCTGACGACACAGGCGACAACAACAGTCATGTTCACATGAGTCACTTTTCCACCTGGGCCCATTCTGCACACCTCACCCCTGTATTGTTTGCTGAACCATCTCCTGGCAAGCCCACAGGGCAGACCATTCCTGACAATGTAAATGGAGGTGGAATAGTTGCCTCCTTCCAAAGGCATGTTCTGTTTCTAGGCTACAGGCTTCCACATTTTCTAAATATGTGGAACTTCATGCAATTAAACTCAGCATCTGCTGCCTGTTGTGTAAATAAGTCTTGGGAGTGAACGTTGAAGCCCTTTCCCTTGAATACAGTCATTCCCATTAAATTGCCTGTTGAGACTGTGAAATCCTCATGGAGGTGTGAAGCATTAACACTTGTCAACCCTACCTGAAGATGCCTACCATAGATGGAGGCCCTGCCTGATACAATAATAAAGTCTATTACACCTCTCCAATATGAAGTACAACTCTGTCACTATAAGGTTCAGTAGGCAAAAGAATGACATTTTCCCAAGCATAGTTTTTTAAAATAAATTTCTTTAATAGTTACCATTTAACATGTTTATGTGCTGTTAGTAAATCAGCATTAATCTGAGCAGCATGAACATCAGCCCATTTGACATATTTAAAATTTCCAGAAACATTTGCTGGCCACTTCTGCCATTCCTTGAGTGATAACCAAACCAAAGTCAGCTTAGTCATCAGGGGCCTCTTCAGTCTTCTAGCCACATTTTATTCATGGGTATCGCTCTTCATAACAGTCATTTGTACTTAATCCGACTTTTCATTGCAGTCTCTAAACATTTGCAGAGAAGGTTCCACAGGAGTAGCTGTGACAGAAGAATTTTCAGACCCAGAAGCTCCTTGTGAGAACTAGAAGGCAAATGGTGTGGCCTGAGTCAAATATTCCCAACCCACGTCCTTGAAATAGCTGATACCAATAAATCCCAAACGTGTACAGAACATGATGGCTGAAACCACTGAGCTGCCCCCAGAAGTAGCTAAGGAGTTCACACTAGAGAAATCAGTCTCACTCAAGCCAACTTGTAAGGACAAAAAAACAGCCTGACCATTAAGGGGGGAAAACAGTGATGAATGTTAGGTTTTAGTGTTTTCCTTGCAGCTTTATGGCAGGGCAATGTCGATTGATAATGAAAACTGTTGAAAAAGGCATCCAGATTTGAGAATTTATTTTGAAATATATGGCTATTGCACAGTTAAAGAATAGCACACAAAAGAAACCTGGAACTATGAAAAAGGGATCAACCCAGTAAAGAAAAATGTAAAATTTAGAGGCAGCTAATTGTATCAAAGCCTCTCCCAACTTAAAGATTCATTTGGGAGTGGCATCTGTTACAGGCATGTTGGTTGTGTGAAGTCAGGACAGTGGCACAAAGTTCCTCAAAGAGATGTTTAAACATATACTTGGCATATTTTTCCCTTTAAAGACTAAAGGTGGTTCCTGTAGTATAGCAGGTATGCTATTTGCACCTAGGTTTTCATTTAATGCTGCATTTGAAGACAAACTGTAAAGAAAGCTAAGCATAAATCACAGCAAATGTTGCTTTGTTCCACTAATAGACACATAACCAATTTGGACTCTTCAAATCAAGGAGATCAGACTTTGTGTGAAAATTATACTATCCTTTTTATTTCAGAAGTGGGAGGCTTTCATTTTATAGTTCCTCAAAAAAGATTTCAATAATTAAGATAGTATCGGTGTCAAACCCAAGTACAAATAGATGTTCTCTCCATTACCTTGACCTGGAAATAAGGTGCAGCAAATAGTGCAGGAAAAGATGGTGGGAGAGGGAATAAATAGGACATATTCTCCTCATCCCCCCAAATAATTACACTTTATGAAGACACTGCAAAACTATTTGCATAGCTGAGGGCCAATTCATTTGCATTTATTTTTCCTTCATAGAGAAAATTGTGTCACAATGCCTGATACATGGAGGGGCAATTGGAATAATTAAAACTGAGGAAAAGGGTTCTTGATGCTTTAAAAAACCCTTTTAAGTGCTTTAGCACAGTATTGCAACAAAACATTCACTCTAGAGAGGTTTTTGTTTTTAAACTCCAAACACTATTCATGTTCCGAGTAACCTGCTTTTAATACTGGCAGTTACAACAGCAAGCTCAGGAACTGCTGAACAATGCATCTGAAGCTCAAGGTTATCCCAATAGCTCTGGCAGCATCTAATACCAATACCACAAGATGAAGCGTGGACACCTCCCATTAACTATTCTATTTCAGGAATAAAAATACATACATCAGAATTAAAGGTGTTAATTTGCAATTGTAGCCTAAGCCTGAACTCCCAGGACTGCAGGTCAGCATGACTCCTGTTCAAGATGGATCGCATATTCAGCCAAAGCAGGACTGTGGAAGGCAACTTTGAGCTCACACCAGTTACTGACAAATGGTCAGGCTGCAATGATTAGGGGGGGGGTAGGGCGGTCAGTAATTTTTTAATTTATTAGCACCTAGACAAGGCTAGGTCTCCGACTAATTCCATCAGCACAACGTATGTCTGTTCTACACAACACTGTAAAAATCAGCTGGAGACAAGAGATTTCCACAGAACGGAGAGCAGGAACAGAGATACCTCTGAATGCAATACCACAACAAAACAAAACAGGAGGTCTGGACACAGATCAGGAGGGAACAATTCCAAAATACAGCTATTAACTCCAAGAATTTTTTTAAAAAATAAAATAAAAACCCCAGTCAGGTCTAAATCTTAATACAAAGGAAAGCATAAAATACCCTTCAATGGTGGCTTGAGTGTGGCTGGCGTGCATTCGTTGTGCCCATAAAACCAGCCTGTTTGAGTACAGACAGCCCAGGGAGTTGTCTGTGCTTTAAAAGCTAATTCTGATAAACTGGGAAGAAGTGCCACAGCTAATAACTGCATGTCTCAAGAATCCCATCAATCACACTCAATGGATTCTGGCCATATTGAGCAGGAAAGGCCGAGCTTTCTGCCGACACTTCTTTACAGAACACGAACATCCCTGAATATGTTGCCCAGGAAGTTTGCAGAGTCTTGTTCTTTGAAGAGAGCTTGAGGAAGAAAACAAACGTGGTAACATTCCATAGTTCCAAGCTGGCGCACACAGCACACAGTGTATCCCTGAAAATCCATTGCCTGCAAGATTCCCTCTGAAGAACAGTTCATTGGAAGTAGAAGCCTCACTCCTCGGTGAAATCTCTGTCAATGTCCATGTATGCCTTGTCAATGTAGCTAACTATGGCACAAGGTGATGTTTGATCTGGACTCAGCAGTATAGATACAGTCTCTTTCCAGTAGGAAAAACTAATACACGAACTCTGTAAAGGGGGGGAAAAATAGAGAGTAAAGTTCTGGCTACAGCGAAATAGCAAATGACAATGAAACTTAGCTGTATTTGGATAATAGTGCTTAAACTTATCACCAAGGGCTCTGATCTAGGCCTATCCTCACCCATTTGCCAAGCTCAGGGATACACCAAATCACCTTGAATTCACATCAGAATACTTGCATGTACAGTTTCACCCATCCTGCTTTGGGAAGTATGTGAACAGTTAAAGTTGGTTTTTAAAAAAATAGAATCTAAGTTTTTCAAAACGTAGATTTAACATGGAATTCTCTCTGAAGGCTTGACACATGTCCTTATATGCACAAGTGGCTCAATAAAAGCTGCTTTATGTAAGACAAAAATCTGTTTTCATTTCAGAATTGAACAGTCCTATAACTGTGGTGATTAACGTAACTCAGAATTGGACTTCCTTTTCACATGGTGTTCACTCAACAACTTAGGTGTTTGCTCTGCAGTGGCTCACTTCATTCTAAACATTCCTCTCATACTGGGCTGGACACTGAGCATTTAAATATGAATAACCTATGTCAAGAAAAGCAGAGGTCTGCTGATAATTATGCAACATTTGCAGAGAGGTCATTTTGTAAGATTTGCTTATGCTAGTCATTGGGACAGAAAGAAGCTATTTGGGGTCCACTCCCCTACCACAGCTATAAGAGTAAGAAGCTTGTTTTCCTTTGTAAAATGAAGGCACCATTTCACAGGAGACATGAATTCTGCAGGCAATACCAAGATGTGATCCTGACAGCACTTCCCATACCTCCTTCACCACAGCCATCATTCTCTGGCAGGAAGTACTGCACCAGAACTGGCCATCACCCAGCTTAAGAACTCCATGTTAATCATGGGGTGTTTGGGTGATAACTGTGAGATATACAATAGCACACAGTGGCTGGGATGTTGTCCTCAGAAGCATAAACCAATCTTGCAGGTACTTCTACTAACAGCCTTTCTGTATCAGCCAAAATATCCAACTCTGTTTAACACACTTAAGCTAAACAGTGATTTCACTCATCCAACACAGTAGAGGATGAAAACTGCCTACATTAATAAAATATTAAATGGATGTAGCCCTAGAACACAGAAAATCTGTAGCAATTTACCAGGAAACTGCAGGCAAAAGCACTGTATTTAAATTCTTCACTTCACATTCATAAAATACATGGTGCCATCACACCACACTGGCCACAGTTTAACAACTGGTACTGGGACCAGAACACTTATTTGATTTAATCCTTCAAAAAAGCTCTTTCTTCCCCAATGGGCCACACCACAGAAGATGATACAACAAGAGAAGTGGAGTTCCGTGTGGCAGCAGGAAGGGGAATTGTGGAAAGATGGCTGCCAGCTTGTAAAATTTAGGCAGGGTGCTTGCCTTCCCCCTGATGCAGGAACTTAAAGCCTGGATGTGGCTGGGACACAAAACAAGTGGCAGGAGCCAAAGATTTCCTGGCCCTTGGCTCACATCCTATGGCCTGATGGACTAACCAGGTGGGAATATCAGCTCAACCCAGGGGGCTTTGTGCACTTTTTGCTTCCTTACATGTTTCTTTACCATGTTTAAATCTGTTTAAATTAGTCATTTTTGCAAATCACCTTTGGGGCCCAACTGAAGAGAAAAGCAGGATTAAAAATATGCTAAATAGATAAAATGCTAAAGGAGATGGAATTGCTGGCGTACGTTTTCTAAGCAGGTGCTGTCTTTGTCCTTGTTGAGGTAATGCTGTTGCCAGAAACGAAGAAGACTGTGGAAGTTATTCAGGATGAAGCCAGGGTATTTCTCCATGTACTCCATCTCTTGCAGCTTATGCAGATAGAAGGGGAGCTTGTCTTTCCTTCGGGCCAGCATTAAAATAACTAAACTCGTGTTCAAACAACTAACGTTTTCCTAAAGAAAATAAAAACAAATAAGTGTCATGGGAACCAGGCATCCCAAAGCCCATTTATGGAGCTTGAGCCCAAAGGGATACACACCAGTCACATTTAAGTGTCAGCATTTCCATGGCAACTCAGCACCAGCTTTTTACCTGTGTGAGCGTCTGTACATGAATAATATTAATGAGCCGAAAGAGGAAGGACATTCTCATGTTTATCTGTGACATGTAAGAGAGCAGCCGGCACTCAGACAAGACTTCTGCAACTGCCAAGAAAACAAACCAGTGGTTAGATTTTAAAAAACTCAGAAAACCAAGTCACACCACCATATTTGAAAAGTCAGGTGTCATTGCCAAGTTGCTTCCATCCACAATGTAGCTATTATACAGACAGGGCAGAGAAGTCTGCAACTGAAAGCAGTTCAAAATTACTAGTTTGTGAACTTCAGAGAAAACCCTTCTGACAGCAACTCATTCAACAGTAATAATGGTGTACAACTAGGGAACCAAGTTCTGCTCATTTCTCATGCAACCATTGGGCACACGATGGCTGCTGGAAATCCCTCTGAAACGGCGTTATGGCCAGTTCATGCAACCATTGGGCACACGGTGGCTGCTGGAAATCCCTCTGAAACGGCGGAGTATGATTTTGGCTCCCTCCCTATCCTTAGACATGCTGGCCGAAAACCAGCACTTGGATTTGCAAAGAACTCAATCTCATGTTTGACAGCAGCAGCACACAACCTACTCACCACTTTCAAGGAGTCAATACGCCCAGTGATTTAGAATCATAGAATCAGAATTGGAAGGGGCCATACAGACCATCTGGTCCAACCCCCTGCCCAATGCAGGACCAGCCTAAAGCATCTCTGACAAATATTCATCCAGCCTCTTCTTGAAAACTGTCAGCGAATGGATTTTCAGCAGCTATCACATGCTGCAGGATTGCTCTTTGAATAAGCCTTAGACACATTGTTTAAACTTGGCTCCAAATAAATGAGCAACCTATTACCTTTAATGTCTGACTGGCTCTCGAAGCGGTCCAAAGACAAAGTAATGCAACGAACCAGCATGTTGGAATCAACTAGTGAACTGTTGATCTGGTGCAAAAATATCTGAAACTTGAAAAGAAAGAAACCATGGAGATGTTAGGCTCTGTTCAGAGTACAAGGCTGAGATTTTATTTGAAAGTGGGGTTTAGATTTACCTTTTCATCTGTATTGATGTACTTGTTGAATCTCTTGAAAGCATCTATGTTGAATTTCATTAGTTCTCCCAAAAGGTCAAAGTAACTCTGAAGGACATCTCGTGATTTGCACTCACTGTCAACTATGCAATAGAGAATATGCTGAAAAGGGAAAAAATTACCATAAATTCAAAACAAAGTCATGTTTTCAGAACTTTACAGGTCACTGGTAAAGTGACTGGTTTCTTAACCTAGTGCAAAAGTGACAGAGGATTAATAATTGTATGGCAGTATATGTAGTATAGCCAGGAGATCTGGAGATTGTCTGGCAGCCAGAAGTTCTAGCTCTTTTGGTGGTGAGCTAGACTTTTTGTTTTTAAGGCAAGAGATGTTTCAGAGGTGGTTTGCCACTGCCTGCCTCTGTGTCATGCCCCTGGTATTCCTTGGAGGTCACCCTTCCAAATACTAGCCAGACCAACCCTGCTTAGCTTCTGAGGTCTGACAAGATTGGGCTAGGCTGGGCTATCTGGGTCAGGGCGAGAGAGGATTAATCTAACAATCCTTTAACAGAGAATCAATCTAGCATTTCACAAGTGTGGAATCAGAGCTGTGAAGGCACAGTAAAGGGACTTCCAAAAGTTTACATAAACCCCAAAATTCTCCATCCCTTACTGTAGTAGTGACCAACTCATATTAAGAGTCTAGCTCACAAGCAGCTTCTGGGCAGAAAATTAGATTTTACAAAGCTGATTTCACATAAACTAGTGCTAAAAACAAGCATTACCTCTAGGAGCCCTCTTTTTAACAGGAACATCTGATCTGCATAGGAAGTAGCACCTCGCAAGAAACTCTCAACTGCCCTTGCTTGCCAAAACCTGGGACACAGAACAGAATGAAAAGCTTGATAAGCAAGGAATTTCAGGATACTTCTAAATTAAAAACAAACAAACCCAAGCAACCATCATGCATGTGTAAGTCAGAACTGACAAGATCTACACCCTCTTTTACAAAGCTCCGGCAACACGAGGAGAACCTCTGGATTCTACTCCTTGAAAACATGTGGAGCAGAGGCCCATCAGTGGCTATTAGCCATGAGGTATAGATAAGAACTCTGGGGAAAGTGATGCTCTGTATTCTTGGTGCTGGAGGGGGGGGGGACAACAGTGGGAGGGCTTCTAGTGTCCTGGCCCCACTGCTGGACCTCCTGATGGCACCTGGTATTTTTGGCCACTGTGTGACAGAGTGTTGGACTGGATGGGCCATTAGCTTGATCCAACATTGGCTTCTCTTATGTTCTTAACTAGGTTTCTTATGGAGACAAACCCACTTTAAAAGCAACAGGGAAGGAAAGAACTGCTGTGGGGTGAAGTCTTGCTTCCATTTGTCTCCATGTTTTTCTCAATTTTGGATATAAAGAAAGAAATGAAACTGTCTAATAGCAGGTAGTGAAACTGAGCTCTTAAGATCAAGTTTTCCTACAACAGCACCCTGTGCTTCATGTAACAAGAATAGAACTCACCTGAATGAAGATTCTGCTGGCTCCTTCTTCATTACCTGCAGCAGTCTGGTGAGCAACCCTCTTTTTCCATCACAGACTAAACTTCTAAAATATGGAGGAAAATTATGAGTAAGGCAACTGGTTGCAATGTAAAGTCTCTCCACACTGCTTAGTTCTACAGAGCAAGTAGAAGGTGCACAGCAGCATACCTTGTGTGCCTATCATCCACTTTGGCCAAAACCCACACAGCTATCACGCTAGGATTTGGTGGATGATGTTAACTCCCCTGTTATATATTTTTCTACTGCAATTCTAAAAGTTGCTTTAATGGGATGTACAAAATACATAGGGATACGTTTATAACAGAGTACATTTACTGCTTTAAGTTTCTTTTTTTAAACGCTACTGAAATGGGTTCACCGTTTCTTACATACTTCCATGTAAGTATCAGGCAGTTTCACTATAGGGCAAGGGATTTAACACTGGTAACCCCCGCGGCACCCCCATTCTCATAATCATCTACACTTACCCTCTACCCCACAGTGACCAAGCTCAGTGACCGGAAATATCTCCACTTTACAACAGCTGTACAGCTGCTATCACAAAAGGGACAGGGAGGAGGCCTCAGATGAGGACGGGTCAAGTTGAAAAGGAATGCAAACAGAGCCTCCACATGTAGCTAGTGAGCTACTCAAAATACACAATTACTGTCACTGGGGCAGCTCCCTAATAGCTTTGCTACTTCAAAGCACTAAGTTTCTAGAGATTCTTGCAGCACATCAGGTCTGCTAAACCAAGATTCTTGCAGCACATCAGGTCTGCTAAAGTATAACACATTTTCAAGGAGAAAAAGAGTAGTGTGCCCTTTTCTTTACCTGTCTGTGTTGACAACTGCATCTACTTCAGGGATATTGGCTTTGAGGGAGATTGCACTCAGTTCATTAAGCTCCTGGCTGTTTAAAAGCAAATACTTGTTCCTAGTACAAAAGACAAAGCAGACAAGCTGAGCAGATCTATTTGATTTTTTTAAAATGCATAATGTATGTATCTTAACAGTCAAGTGTCCTCCCTTCCCCCAATGCAGGCTAAACCTATGTACAACAGGAACACTGAGGAGATAGGAAATAGGCTTCTGCAGACCTGCAGAATATCTGAGGTCTGCAGAAAAATACAAGTGTTTAAAGAGACTTGTAGAGGTACAGCTGAAACAAAAATGGAAAAGGTAATGTCTGTAAGAGAACATGTTGGCAACAGACACTAGGAGCAAGAGTGAAGGGAAGGTAAAGATGCTTCGCCTGCACACCACCACTTCCATGCTTTTCACTGCACTGGCAAACAGAGAAAACCAGGCAGGTGAGTGAGTAGCCAGGGTAGGGGGATAGGATTTTCCCTCCCAGTCTTTACAGCCTCTACCCTTTGTCTGTATCCTATTTTCAAACATGTTGGGCCTGCAAAGTTGATTATTGTGTACTCTGAAAGCTCAGGACTCAAAAGGGAAGAAAAGTGTGGTCAAGGCTGGCTACTGCTGAAGTTGATCCCTAGTAAGTCATGTAAAATTGTTCTCCCATGGTTAAGAGGAGCTTCTCTCACCTCCTATGCAGATTTCTTTGCGATTTGCTGGTCTCCACTGGAATGCGTACAATGACTCTATTCCAGCTGTACCCATTACCCGATTATTTCAGGCAAACAGCAGAAAGATAACAAGGACCTGAGTCATACAGGCCTCAAAGCCCTAGTCTGCTGAAGATACCAGACACTCTATTCATTTCTGAAGACAGGAGCTGTAACTGGCTTGCATTGTATGGTCAGCTTCCACTAGTGTTCACTGACACTGTAGTACAAGAAGTGGTTTTTCAGAAGTCACACTAGAGTACTGGACTAAGAAAACCTCATTGTATCCAAACAGGTATATTCACTTTTGTGAAGTATAGAGCTTACAATACCATTGAACAAGATAGAGGCTTTGGGGGATGAAAAAGAGGCAGGGTCCATCACACGCAGTGAAGGAGTCCTACTCAAGCAGCAACACAAACACGGGGAGTAGAAGGGGAACAAGCAGCATGAAAGGATATCCTGACTGATGGAACATTAAACAAAGTACTCAACATTTATCAAACACATGTATCGTTCATTTAGGATGCATTTATACAATGTGATTTGATTGCATCACATGCTTAGGAATATGTTGTCGAAGGCTTTCACGGCCGGAGTTCATTAGTTGCTGTAGATTTTCCGGGATGTGTGGCCGTGGTCTTGGCATTGTAGAACCTGACGTTTCGCCAGTAGCTGTGACTGGCATCCTCAGAGGTATAAACACAGAAAGATGGAATCCTTGACACAGAGATTATGTTTAGGAATAATGTTTAGGAATATTGCTCATGTTAGGATTGTGGTGTATGCAGAGCTCCCACTTATACAATGATCAATGCATGAATGGAAATATGCCAAGTTGTAGTTGTACTTTGCATACATTGCATGGGACAGATGCCACTGTGTATAGCCAAGGGTATTTCCTGATCTTTCTACTTGCTCCTTAACAGAGTAACATTTAGGACTAACCAAAAGCAACTGCTACACACTCTTGTCTGTGTCTTTTAAGGAGTATTTATATTGCCTGACCCACTTAAAGCAACAGTACAACATTTATTGCAAAAATCTTCTATACTCACTCATGATGATCACTAAAACTCTGAAGCAGCCGCAGAAACTGAATCTTCAAGGTAATATCCTGCAAAAGAAAGCCTCATGATTTCTTTTAGAAGTAACATTAGAGGGCATTAGTAGCTGTACAGTGGGGGTGGGACTAAATCAGCAAGTCCTTTAAAAGATAGCTAAAGCATTTAGGCAGAATGAGATTGCTAGCAGCAGTCAGAGTAATCCATTGGGACCTCAAAGCACCTGTACAGGATAGTTTTTAAGCAATGCACACGAAAGAGTACTCACCGGACTACAGTCGCAATTTTGACTATGCCCATGTAGAACAAGGGCTGATGCTGAATGTTTCCGCCAGATCAATTTGTCAAACAAATTATTAAGGCCAGGGATCAATTTATATTCTGCAATCATTTTGTGAACCTAAAGAAACAAAATATTGAGTCCACGTATCACTTCTGTGTGATCAGTCACTGGAATGGTCATCTGGCACACTTACTGGCATCTGAATTTCTCAGATGTTACTGTACATATAAATTAGTAGTGTTTACTGCAAGTCTGACATTGGCCCTATTAAAATTAAGTTACCAAGTTTCACCAGAAGGTAAGCTAATCAAGTTTTGTTGTTACTATAATGAATTATTTAAAATTTTGTTGTTGTTACTATAATGAATTATTTAAAATATTTAAGTCTTAGACAATATCTATTAGGAATTTCTCTTCTGCAATCTGCAGGAAATGAACAGGAACAATGCAAATGCCCCATGTTTACCTGTGCTTGTGCAGGCTGCACTCTTAATCTAGGGCAATATTTTCTAGCTATCTGTATTCAATACTGCATCAAGTTTCAGTGTTCGAATGCAAAGCTTTCTACTGTGGGTTTGCCAATTCCGAGATGGCTTTTCACACCTATACAGGCAGGAACACAATATGGCATGGGTTTTCCTGGCCAAAAACCTAGCTGGACAGTATCTTCTATTAGTAGGCATAGCAACAGCCAGATCCTTTTGGCAACATCATCAGCTATCACGGTAGGTCTGGCAATGGACTATGGAACTCCTACAAATCCCAAATTTTACTGATGGGTCTGGGACTCATCACAGAACAATATATTTACTGCTTGGAGGTGGCAGTTGTGACGAGACACAGCCTCTAGACCTAGAAATTTCTATTTCACCTCCCTGAAAACTTTTTTTCCATATGTTGTCGAAGGCTTTCATGGCTGGAGTTCATTAGTTGTTGTAGATTTTCTGGGCTGTATGGCCGTGGTCTTGGCATTGTAGTACCTGACATTTCACCAGCACCTGTGACTGGCATCCTCAGAGGTATAACACAGAAAGATAGAGTACTCTCTGTGTCAATGTGAGAAGAAAAATGGTAGGAAGGTAATTTATATCTACTCAGGAAGGTGGGGTAGGGATGTTGAAATTCTAATCATATCTGTAGTGCTGTTGTAAGATTGGATGTGCTGTCCAGCATTTCAGTGTCTTGGAATAAGATACTGTGTCCTGTTCAGCCACTGCTGATTTTTCAGGTTGGCGAAGTCTGCAGTCTCTTTCATGTTCTTTTAATTCTTGTCTGGATGCTACGTTATGTGGTCCCGATGTAAACCTGTCCACAACTGCAGCCTATGAGGTATACTTCTGCAGAAGTGAGGGGGGGGGGTGTCTCTTCTCTCTTTTGCCGATCGTAGCATCTGTTGTATTTTTCTGGTGAGTCTGAATACTGTTTGTAAGGTTGTGCTGGACAACACATCCAATTACCATGTCAGATTATACAGGGAAGCCAATGAAATTCATAAACATAAACACAATTTCAACAGGAAGGAAGAGAATTTAAAAATAAATAGGGCATGGTTTCCAGTCCTGAAAAACACAAAATGCTCTACATCTTACAACAGTACTACAGAGAAGATTAGAATTTCAACATCCAATCCATATACAAAAGAACTTCCTTAGGAAAGCTCCTCCATTAGTAAGTCACAGCCTGGGGAACTCCTACAAGATAATGACTCGGCCCTACCCCACCTTCCTGAGTAGATATAAATTACCTGCCTACCATTTTTCTTCTCATCTTGACACAGAGAGTACTCTATCTTTCTGTGTTATACCTCTGAGGATGCCAGTCACAGCTGCTGGCGAAATGCCAGGTACTACAGTGCCAAGACCATGGCCATACAGCCCAAAAAACTACAACAACTGATTTTTTTTCTATACCTCTATTTTTAAAATTGAGGCCTTTGGGACCACTTAGTCTTCTAGTTCTCAATGAGGACAATGCTTATACTCGGGGCACCAACTGGCATGATGAGGGGATTACTGCTTGAAGGAACACAGTTGGCTTTATAAAAACAACTAACAAACAGGTTTACTTCAGTGGTATGCTTGGTTGGTTTGTTCTTCCTCTTCTCTGGCCCTCTCCACATTATCAAATTACTGCAAGCTGGGGCTTGAGAAATAACAGTTACAAAGTGGGTTTCTTGTTTTACTGATTCAGAAGGATAACATGGGCCCCGTTCACACGGAGCATTTGCCCCGCTGAAGGCACGGGAGTCCCGCGGATTTTCCGGGCGCGATCACACAGCAACATCTGGGAAGTGCAGTGCTCCCGCAGCGAACCGTGGCTTCCCACCAAAGATACGGCTTTAAAAACTAGTACTTACGAGGTACTAGTTTCTGGAAACCGCGAGCCAAGGGCGGGCGTCTGATCGTGTTTCCGGTGGAATTACGTGGCATCCGGCACCCGCCGATGTTAGTTGCAAACAAGGGGTTTTTTTTACCTCCCAAGTCTCCAAAAGCGCCCAACAGCGCATGCGCACAAAGAGCGATTGCTAGTGTGATCGCGCAGCGCGGCTTCTTTGAGTTCGAGAGAGGGCCATGAGAGGCTGCAATGGGGGTGAGTGGCAGAGGCCGGGCTGAGAGCGGGCCGCGTGTCCCAGGGAGGGAGGGACGGAGGGCTGCTGGCTGGGAGGGGGGATCTGGCGGTTTAATCTCCCCCTCCCCTCCTTGCAAGCGGAACACGGACCCTGCCCGGAGTGGGCTGCGCGAGACCCTCCCAGAGGCCACGGCTCTTTCCTTTCCCTTTCTTATCGGGCTGGCTGCTCTTGGTGGAGGTGCAGGATACTCATGTGATCAGCATCTCCCCCCTGACCACGGGACCTCGACCGGGACGTGTGATCGGGCGGCCACGCGTTATTTTCCTCCGGGGCAAACGGCCACACTTCCCCCCCGCATTTTCCGGCCCGTGTGACCACCGCCATGGAACAGAAAGGATTTTAACTATTTCTTACAGGAACAGCACCTCAGCCCTACTTAGCTTCAAAATATGTGAAGTCCCTAATGGAGTCTTTGCCCAACCAGCAGACCTCCAAACCCTTGTCTCACCAAAGTCCAACAGCCCCCAGTTCTGTCACTTGGCCAGCAGTTAAACTGCCAAGCTAGTGGGTTTTTTTTTAAACAAAACTTTTCAATATTTCAATTCATCATTTGAATGTGATTGGCTGAGCCTTCTGGAGGGTGGAACTTGAAACCATCTACCACAGATGTCTATACAGAAAGCAAATGGAAACTAACATCTCATCAGCTCAATGTAGCACTTAAATAGCAGCTGCACACACTTGGCTCTTCCCACACAGCCCTGCAGACATGGGCTGGAAACTATTACTCGCTTGAGCAACCAGCTGAATACAAGAGGACTGCATTTGAGAGAGAGACAGAGAGACACAGAGAGGGAGTCAGAGTCAGCATGTAAAGGGACTAGGGGTGATGGTTTAAACTGCTACTGCCTACTCTATCTAGTTTTCTACTTATAAAGTACTTGGCTTGAAAGCTATATTCTGATTTAAATTCATTACACCAAGAACTGAAAGTTTTCCAACCATCCATTCAATAGGGCACATAAATCAACAAGCACTTTCCAATTTGTAGTAGATAAAACCTGAATGTGGTTCTTAATCTTAATAACGGGATTAGCAGTGGCCACAGATTAAAAAATAGTTTGCATTTTTCTTAAAAGGTCCCAGGACTTTAAGCAATCTTTAATCAACCTGGAGAGCTGCTGCTAATTCCACACATTGTTCACAGTGCACAGAGCCTCACCTGATTCCTTTGCCTGCCCATTAAAAGCACACAGAGAACATACAACACTTCCAACTTGTACATGATCTCATGCATAATCTTCATGGACTGGGGAAGCTGATTCCTTGTTGAGGTGTTTGCAAATCCACTCTCATCTGAAGATTCTAAGACAGACAAATTTGAGCTTGGAAGTCTTCACAGTGGTGTCAATAACAACAGTTAACAAATGTGCAAAAAAAATAAGGTATACGAAACTGGCTCATTTGCTCACAATAGCAGAAATGGCTCACTCCATCCAAAGGGGGCAACACAATCACAAGGATCCCCTTGGCAATGCTGTCCCAGCTTTTCTAGGATCTGCTGCTTATTGCTCCCAATATAGCACTAAAATGCAAATAATGCATAGGAAGGCCCTACCAGATTGATCTAACATTCTTCCCATCCGAAAACGTGAACACTGTAAGTGTAGTAAGAAGTTGGTGGACAGACACCTCTATCAAGCAATGCCAAGAGCTACAGCCATTCTTTTTAAATTATGTGTTATACTTACAGGGATTCCTGGCCAGTTGTATGTGGGATCAGCAATGAGTACCAGACCCAAGGACAGACAGACAGGGTCATCTCATGGTACAAAGAACACTACAGATACAAAAGTATGCACCTACTATACATTGTGTGAAGTGGCCCAGGGAAGTAGGTATAGTCCAGAAGTTTAAGAGTACTGCATTTCCAGAACATACATCAACAACTATTGCTACTGAATGATAATGTTACAGAGATTTTGTCTTCACCTCATTTAGTATAATTTCATTAGAAGATAATGTTAAAAATTGATTGCAGTCCATATGACCAATACCTACAGGTAGTAATGCTATCTGGTTCAAAACAGGTACCTGTGCTGCTTTGCTCCGTCTCCTCATCCGCCACACGCATTAGCGCATCAAGAACAAGTGCATTGTCTAGCCAAGTGTACCACTCCTCCAGCTCCTGAAGAAAGCTAGAATTTCCTGTTGTTTCTGATACTTTTCTTGTTGCTAGTTTACATAATCGCTCAATGAAGCCTGGTATATCAAGAAGCGTAGCTATGAAAGGAACCAAAGCAAGACAATTACCTCAAAAGGCTAAATTTAAGCATTAGTAGATCATTGCAAAGCAAGGCGTATGGGGAATTCAGAGTGGATTTCAACCGCTGGTTCTGTCCTCAGTTTACCAGAGCCATCTCTTTCTCCACCCACAATACTCTCTGAGCATCTTTAAACCTTACTGTTACACATGTTCTCATCTCATCCTATCCAGTTTTTGAGAGTTCTTGCTTGGAACTATTCACATCAGGAACGGAATGCTGTACCTTGATTCATTTCTGCTCGAGAAGGACCCAAGTTCTTTTTCTGCTGAGCATTTTTTGCCAATAGTGTATGTTTGTCATCACTGCCTGTGTCAAGCTCTGAGATTGTAACTGCAAGGATCCTGCAGAAATTAGCAAGCTGCTGTTGATCAAAACTAGATACTAGGCTGGAGAGATTCGGAATGTCCTCTAACTGAATCATTTCCTGAAAAAAAGGAGATACAAATCAGTATGTTGATTGGTAATGAACAAATAATTCTAATCATATGTAGCATAACACAAATTCTTTCCAACATCCTTACATATTTAGAAAGGCAGTAACCTCTACATTTATCACTCAGGCTATAGTTTAACAGAGTTCAGCATAAATATTTTTCCTAGAGTAATTAATACATTTTACACACCATCACATGGGGCTGTATATCTGTTCAAATACAAAACCCAAAGAATACGGCATTAAGCAGCAGACATCACTAGTGATAGGAGGAAATTTCCTCTTCCTTAAAAGCTTTGTTTTTCTTTTGCTTCCTTGATGGTCCTGAATATTACTGTAGCTGGGAAACAGGATATTTAACGTGTTCCACTGATGCAACCTGAGTCCTAAGTAAATCCATTTTCAAGAGAAAGTTATATTTCAGGTTCAAGGTAAAAATGAATATGAGGTCAGAAAGAACATTCTCAGGTAAGACAGGCTTATGATTGTTAGGGCGGAATTGCTTTTCTGCACCAGGGCATTTTTAAATTTTTGCTTTTTTTGCATGTGGCACATATGATAACCTAAGTAACAAATCACTGCCCCGACAAACAGGGTCCTAGTTCACAGCAAGAGTGATGAGTGTGCAGACTTCAGTAGTGTCACTATTTTTTTAGTTCAGTCTTCTGCAATGAAGTAGGAAACTGTAACTTCAGCTCCCTCCAACACAACTGCAACAGCCCCCAACATTTTCTTTGGATTGGATGCTAAATCTAAGCCAGAGAAGAAGCCACCCCTATACCCATACTTGTTGCTGTACTCTGATGGCGATGGCAAAACAGGCAGTCTAGAGGTCTCCCTCTTGCCTCTTTATTACCCCAGACTGTGGATGTTGTTCCTGTGTGCAGGTCATCAGAGCAGAGAGAAAGGGGAAGGCTCTGATTTCTCTTTCCCAGCTGTTTGGTTTACTGCTTACCTCCTAGCAGTTTCACTGGGTTGAAACCCATGATGTTCTGAGCATCCTCCCACAAGTAAGTGGACCTGGGATAAATCAAGTAGCATACTGACTTACTGGTACACAGCAGTGCCTGCCTTGGTGATTACAAGATGAAGACTGTATATGTAGTCCATCACCAGTTAGAAGGCACCTTTTCAGGGCTATAATTACACCATTATCTTCCCAAACTGCACAAGAGATGAACTACACAAGAACTTACAAATGGAATATGCATTTTTACTCAAGGTATTATTACAATGACTTATCAGAATACAGTCCCAGCTTCCAGCAGCCTTTTAAAGACTGTGGAAGATTATCAGAAGCCTAGGAATACTAACAAACCTTTTTCACGCCCAGGATATCTTCAATAAGGGTGGCTGTTTGCAGGAATGTCTTTTTGTTTGTCATCAATGTAAACAAGAACAGGACAAAATCATTTCTTTCTGCCAATCGCTTAGTGACCCCTTCAGTCTGCAAGGAGGAGAGGAGGGCATGTACATATGAGAAAAGGCTGATACTGCAAGACAAGTTAACTTATGAATCAGTTATGAAGGCTTAATTATCTACTGGGCAAGTTCGAGGAGTAGCTCATGGCTCTATTTTTTTACAATGGTCTGTGGTATATTCTCCAGCAGCTCTTGAGATTATATACTGTATATAATCTGATTTCCTCCCAAATTTCAGTCTCTCCTCCCCTCAAACCCAGAAAACCACCAGGGTTTTCTCCCATGGCTTAATAATTTCTAGAAATTTTACCTCTTTACACTGTGAGGAATTGTAAGGAGAATGAATCACAGAATACAAGTCCACCCCTCAAAATCTCCCTCTCCAGGATTCGGGAAGCTCTCATGAGCTTCAGCAGGCTGATTTCTCCTCTCCCTTTTACTGACACTCAATTGCTCTCAATGGTTTTCCCTTCTGGAACATTTTCAGTCTTCAGAGTTAAGGTTGATTGTTTTTCTGTATACGTGGGGAACTCAGAGTAGGTCAAGACCTCTACCCTGCTGGTGAGTGGCTCAAGAGTATACTATTTTAATGCAGTGATCAAATCAAAGTCACCCTTGCCCACAGTGATAGGGTAAAAGACTAGTAAAGCCTGCCTAATACCTCCCAATGCGTTCCTTCACATGCAAGTATAGCTACAGTATGGGAATTTAAATTCAGAAGCTCTGTAAACAGCCTCCCGCACAGCAGCCATATGGCAGCCATAAAATAAAAACCAGCCTGAACATTATGCCCACCATATGACAGCAGCACAGCTCTGCCTGTTAAGAATTCCACTGGTTTCCCTAATTATCTTTATGTACCACATGGGCCACCTTTCTCTAGCCATGGTTTATCTTTGCCTTGCCCTTTGCTTACAGCTAATTTCCAGGAACCAACAAGAAGAGAGATAAGTGCAGATAAACTATGGATAGAGAGAGGGTGCTGGCAAACAGTCTGCAAAATCCTTAATCTCTCTTTGCTGAAAGGTGAACAGTCATCAAAACTCCCAGGAAGTAGAACTGTCGAGGCGGGGAGGGTGGGGTACAAATTTAATAAATACATACATACATACATACATAATAAACTGGACTGCTGTCATGTGGCAAGTGCAGTGTAGTGGTGTGGCAGAAGCAAATAGATTTTTTATATAAAATCTCATCTGGTCAGAATACTGTAGTCAGAAGTTTACAGAACTGATCCATGCAACAGGAGTTAGAGACCAAACAATAATCTAGTCAGTACATTGTCTCTGAAGAAGTGTGCAAGCACATGAACGCTTACACACAGAATAAAACTTTGTTGGTCTTAAAGGTGCCCCACTGGACTCAAGCTTTGTTCTATTGCTTCAGACCAACACAGCTGCCCACATGAATTTGTCAGTACATATAGCTCTGTGACAGGTAGAAAATACAAGATTTGCTGTTTAGGCTTTGATTTTTGTGCAGCATTGCACATATCAACTCAAAACAGTTTCATTATTAAACGTAACTCAATAAAAGCAGTCCTAAGCAAGTATGATATGCAAAACCCAGAATGCACAACTTTTAAAAATGTGACAGTTCCAACAAAGCAAAACATCTAATCCTAGGAAACTCCTTGGTTTTTGTTTTTTACCTACATAACTGAACAGGGAACAAATATATCAAATGCCCACAGTAAACTACTGCTTTACTAAGTACTAAAATACTTCAGCAATGACTAAGGAAATGCTCATAAAAGGTTATTTATACAAAATGTAAACAAGCAGCAATAGATTTGGTGACTCATACCACAATGTGCAAAATGCAGTAAAAGCTTTATCACCAGGAGTATTAAACACTCAACTTGTTATTTTAGTCTTTATGATTCAGAGTATTTTTAGCCTCAGGCAAAATAAATTTAGCTCCATGATAAAATGAAAATACTTGCTAGAACATAGAATATTACTTACACATATACAAGTGTTGTACAATATGCTTAAGCAATCCTTGATAAGATCATCACTTACTGCAAGAAAACAAACACACACCAGTTAGGACTCCTAAACTATCACCATGTCTGAATGCACAATTCTCCTTAACATAGCACATGCAAGCATCCCTGTTGTTAAATTCCCACAGCTTGAAGTTAATGGCATAACTGTATCTTAATACTGAGCAAGCTTCACGTGAGTGATGTCAGTTATTAGGGCAAATAGAATCAAGGCTAAATGGTAAGTATAAGAATTATCCTTCAGGGCATTTGTATTTTAATTGCTTATGCAATTTGGCCCACAGCTGGTAGACAAAACTGTATTTATTCTGTGGTACCCCTGCTGTGATGCTCGTCCTCTGAAATTAGCTCCAAACTTGGAAACTCGTGGGCACTCCATGAAACTGCAGAGCGGTCGGGTTAGAACGGATAAAAGGAAGTACTTCTTCACCCAAGAGTGATTAACACTTGGAATTCACTGCCACAGGAAGTGGTGGGTGCTACAAGCATGGACGGCTTCAAAAGGGAATTAGATAAGCATATGGAGCAGAGGTCCATCAGTGGCTATTAGCCACAAGGTATAGCTAGGGGCTCTGGGGCAAGTGATGCTCTGTCTTCTTGGTGCTTGGGGGGGGGGGGTCAACAGTGGGAGGGCTTCTAATGTCCTGGCCCCACTGGTGGACCTCCTGATGGCACCTGGTATTTCTGGCCACTGTGTGACACAGAGTGTTGGACTGGATGGGCCTTTGGCCTGATCCAACATTGGCGTCTCTTATGTTCTTATGAAATAATAAAAATATGAAGAAATATTCACGTGAATCTGCCTTATACCGAATCAGACCATTGGTCCATCAAAGTCAGCACTGTCTCAGGAGGGCAGCCACTCTCCAGGGTCTCAAGCTGAGGTCTTTCAAATCACCTACCGCTAGATCCTTTAACTGGAGATGCTGGGGATTGAACGTGGGACCTTCTGTATGAGCCACAGCCCCTCCCCAAATGTTAATTTCTTATTGGATAGCTGAACTAACAGATGAACTACTTTTCACTCCCCCCCTAAGACCTGCAAAAATTATTGCTTTCAATTTAGATTTCATGCTCTAGGATGCCATGAACATTTTAAAAATCAAGTTACTCCTGAATTTTCTCAAATGCTCAAGGATGTGCACAGCATGAAGTGCCATCTACACCTGTATCTTATATTCTAATATCCACCTGTGGCCCCCATCTGCAGATAGCTAAATCCATGGATCAGGGCCACACAGATGCTAAACACACTTGGAGGACTCCCAGGTATGCAGAAAAAGCTAACATGTTTTAAAAACACACGGGGGGGTGTCTAAATTCTCCCCAAAATAAAAAAGTGCAAGCACAGGGAACTCACCTACTTTTGGTGGTGTGGCAGCCCGGGAGCTGCGCTGGACCAGGTGGCAGCATGGCGGCAACCTAAGAGCTGCATGGAGCCTCTCAGCTCAGGAGCTGTGCTGGGTCAGGAGGTGTAACCATGGCAGCCTGGGAGCCCTGGCAGACTCCTCGCTCTCTGTAGCTTGCCTGGAGCTAGGTGAGCCACAAAGAGCAGTGGGGCAGAGTCTCTGCTGGCTCACCTGGAGCTACTCCAAGCGAGCCAGCAGAGACTCCTCTCCCCAGTGAGCCGCAGACAGCCAGGGGCTCCACACGGGGCTCATAGAATGGGGGGGGATGGGATTCCCCCCAGTGAGTCTTGTGGGCCCCCATTTGTTATCAACTAGTTTCCATCTCAAAACAGAAGATTACAAGAGATTGAAACACTTTGAAAAGAAGCAGATTATTTACTTACTTTTCTGTTTCTTCTTCTGCGTAATAAGTGTTGGTCTCATGAGTATTTCTACTAGCAGCTGTGAATATTAGAGATATGCCTGAATAAACTTGGTTTAAATATAATGCTACAGTAATGTCAATTGCTTTGCTGAAATTTTTAAGTGAGCGAAAAAAGAAACCAACTAGCTCTGTACTGCACAAAAAATCTGTATGACTTTTTCTTTTACAATGCTTTTCTACAAGGAATTAGACAATATTTCAAGAAGTTTACATAATGCTTTGACTTCTACAGGAGTGTTCTGAATGTTTTCTATTTCCAGCAATAGTCCAGCAAACAGGTATTTAGAGATTAAAATTTAACTGAAGTGACAATAATGCTACCTTTTGCATACAAGCTACTGACCTTGATGCTGGAAGGCAGGCTCCCCCTTGTTTTATTAATCTAGGATACAGAAATGCACCGGGCATATAAACACTGCAAGACTTCTACTAAATGAATTCCTCTGTAAGTATACTCCCTCCTTCCCTCCCTGCCTATTGCTGAGTCTTCAGGACATAAGTAATGGGGTAGGAACTGGAGAGAAAAGCACACTATTGTAGGAGGAAACAATGTAATACAGATAAACATTCCACAATGCAAGCTGGGCTGCAACAGCAGAATAAGCAGCGTGCCCAGAAAACTGAAACTAAGCTACTAGGAACCTTCTGCCCTCGGACAGAGCCCCTTGCACAGGACTCATTACTTGTATCATACCCATTGGCACAAAGATACCAGAAGCTGCTGCAGTCCCAGAGCAAGGAGGAGGGCAGCTCTTTCCTCCTTCAGTAATGGCACACAGCATCCACTCCAACACTAGGCTACTGCTGTACAGTAGACACAGGACTGGACACTGAACCTCTTCTGACCACTCATTTGGATAGTACTTGTTCTGGCTTTTATTGTAAAAAAAATTTAAAAAAATCCGTGTGCAGAAGCTGAAAACAGTGCCAGTTTACAAGGGGAGGGAATATTTAAGCAGTTGAGTGAGATGTGGACTGAAGATTTGCCTCACCTTTTTTTGTGAAATTTAAAGCCTGGGAATGGCCAGCTGCAGCACAGGACTTTGGCACAAGCTGAAGAGCAAAAGTCAAAGGCCTCATGGCTCTCAGCCTGTGCTCACAACTGTGGTCCTACGTGAGCTGTGGTGGCCGAATCAGCACCAGCCCAGGAAAACCTAGCGGTCTATCACCCGCTTCAAGGGTTAGAGGGGACCTACTAGGTTGCATGGCGTTGTTGAAATACGCAAAACAAAATACAGTTTCATTTTGTAAGATGCTTTCAGTGGAGATGCTTTTCAATGGAGAAAAACTGGGTAAATTTTTTAAATAAACTAAAATAAACTATAGGCTAATTAAAGCACAACCTGTGTTGCCAGTTAAGTTCTGATTAAGACAGCATTTTAATCAAATCACTGTTCAGAGTCTGAATGTGCTGTAATATGTAGATTATACAGACAAAACTCTATGCAATTTCCTAGTGAATTTGGAAGCTGACTTAATTATGCTTATAGTAGGCAGCTTCATGTTTTAACCTGAAATGATTAGTTTAAGCTTCTACAGTTCAGACCACAGTATGATGATTTCTTATAAATAAAATAGATGAGGATACTCTAGATTTATCCTTGAAGATTAAGCAAGCACCAGGGCTGGCATCAGCATACCCTGAGGTGGGGCAGCTGCCAAGGCCCAGGGCTTCTGGCAGGCTCCGGGCTGCTCACCTCCACCCACACACCTCCCCTGCACCTGTGCTCCCCAATGCCCAGGGTCATTAAAAGAAGGGCAGGTGGGTGGTCACAATGGTGGCACTCCTGATGCCAATGTCAGGTGGTGCAGACAACTGAGCCTGGACAGTGGAAGCACTTACAAGCAGGAGAAGGACACATGGGCAGGTGGGGGACATGCAGATGTGGGGGTGGAAAGGAGGGCATGGGGGGGACTGGGCTCTGTTCACTCAGGGCCACCCAAAATTTGGACCCGGACCCAACAAACAGCTTCCCAAACCTTGAAGCATGACCTTGTATTTATAGCTAATCTTTAGTTGGGTACATCGAAGATCAGTTATTATATTCATAATGCATTTCATCCTTACTATATATAAAAAGAGATGCAGTTACCATAGTCATTATTATTGACCAAAAGGATTTTAGATTAACATTAAAGAATTCTAAATATAAGTCTGATTATAAAAGATGCAAGAGAAGACTATGTGCTTTGACCCTGGACACTGACATCAAGACAATGACTACGCATACTTATGGATCCTGTCAAACCAGGACAAGAAGGCTCTGTACACAGTTACTTTGACAGTGATCTTGGTTTTCAAGACTAAAATATATCAGCAGCACTAAGACACACAAAAACTGACTATAAGGGCGAATCAGATGAAGACCTGTCAGAAGGCACAAGGCAGCAAAGTGCTCTGGTCACAGCAAACATTGTGACCTGGGACAAGTCACAATGCTAGAGAGAACGTTACTAAAGGAATAGGGAAGGTGTATCCTTTATTCATCCGGGGTAAGGTGTATCCTTTATTCATCCGGGGTAAGAAGAGTGCCACAACATCTGGAAATCCTTAGATAAATCAACACTTAAAATATAAGTAAAGCTGTTCTACTCTGTCCCTTTAATTATAAGCTTTATTTCACCCGCAGCAAGTGTACAGAAATGTGGCAGTTATCCAAGTTATATGGCTACATTTCTCAATACTGCACACCTGAGAGCTAGGGACAGCTTTTGAGATGGGACCCCTTCAGCACTCCTAGCAGTGAAGAGGAAGACATCCTTTTGGAAGGCAACTGGGCAGTCAGCTCAGAAGTGCAGGTGCTGCAGCAGACCTTAGTAGGGCTGCCTGATCAGCAGCACCCTGCAGCCACCAGGCAACTCAGTGAAAACAGCTGGAGATGAGGGGGGAACAGGCCTATGGACAGCTACTCCTGCAAATCAGGAAGACTCCACTCACATTTCCCAGCAGACACCCAATCTGTTAGGGTAACAGAAGATGATTTCTTTTAACACCCAGTACAGTTATCAGTCGGACAACAAATCAATTCCATCCACTAATTCTTTCCTAGAGAGACTTATGAAATGAAAAGCAGTATGATTTAATACTCTCTCCATGGTTACTTTCCCTTCCTGGCCTGCTCTAATCTGTACAGTGCAATCATGTTCTCTCAGACATCTTTTCCCAGGATCAAAGGCCAGGCTTTCAGTCTCTAGTCATAAAGACAAAATGCATAAGCACTGACGAATCTCTTTGTTTATGTTTGTATAAATTAACAGGTGACCATAACTTGATACAGTATTCCATATTATGGACTTACTAGTGCCTTGAACAAGGAATTCCCTCTTTTAACTAGTAATGTCTCACCGACCTTATCCAAGAACATGTTACCACATTTAAGAGTAAAACAGAATCCACAAAACACTTACATCAACTCCACCAAACAAGTCAAATGTATATGTATTTGGGAAAGTAGATTCTTGAGTAACTTTTCTCTCTTCTGTGACAAATGCCATGGCTTCCATTGAAAGGAGGGGAGAAATTTCCTGATGAGAAATAAAAACAGATATTGTATAAATTCTAATGTACTTAATATCATACACTATTATTGATGCTAGCTGCAGAAATCACTGCGGATAACATAAAAATTTTAAAACACCAGTTTACAGCATGAAATATTCACAGCCTTTGTCTTTTCTTTCTATTTATCAACCCAGAAATTCCATGCTTCTGGAGATCCCCTTAAAAAACCCCTAAGCAGAAATCTAGTTATGCATTTGTTAAATCTTACATTGTGCTGATATTCAATTATTATCTGATTTTACTGCAACCTGCAGGCATAGATTAGGATGTCTATGACCAAGAAGTAGGAAGTAGTAATTTCCGTGTAGCTGTGAGTTCACAATAACCCTTTCTCTCTGACTTAGTATGTGGAACTAAGTATAACTCTTCATGCATCTGACAAAGTTGCTCAAAAAAGCTTATGCCACATTATATTTAACCTTCAAGAAACTACAAAACTACTTATGAGGCAATCTACCTTAAGAATAAGCATGTTTTTTACCCCCATTCATGTTTTGTGTTGTAATGTGTGTATATTTATATGTATGTTTGTTTTGAAAAATAAATAAAATTCTGCCCCTTGGGGCAGTTAAAAAAAAGAATATTTGTTGTTTTGGGTGCAAATTAACATGGACTCTCCTCTAGAATGCAGAATGATGCATTGATTGCACGCGTCAGAATCTTCCTTAGCAGGCTGGACAATTTTCTCTATTCGTTCACATGAATACATATTGTGATCTGGTTTCAATTATAAGCCACCTCAAGGAGGACTCTGAAGAGGTGGCACACAAATATCTTAAGTAAACAAACACATGAAGCTGTGTTGTACTGACTCAGACCGTCAGCCTCCCCAAATCAGTACTGTCTCCTCTGACTGGGAGTGGTTCTCTAGGGTCTCAGAGGTATTGTGTTCAGTATTGGTGTAGTGGTTAGGAACATGCATTGTGCAGGGGGTTGGAATAGATGGCCCGGCCTGGAGGTCCTTTCCTACTCTATTATTCTACGATTCTAGGTTTTTCACATCACCTACTATTTGGCCCCTTTCTAACTGGAGATGCCATGGATCAACTTGGGACCTTCTGCATGTCAAGCAGATACTCTGCCACTGAGCCATGGTGCCAAGCTGCAAGACAAAGGCAAAAGCCTCTCACTCCAGGGGCAAGCCCCAGTTCTTCATGTAGTGTAAGACGGGTTCCAGTTATCAAAGTTACACTCCCCCCAGTTGCACTCCAATGGGTCAGTGAATCCCACTCCACTCCAGAGAAGGTTCAGGGGCAGTTTAGTAGTTTACACTGGGGTGGGTATTGGAATTTTATTGCGTTATTTATGTTTGGAATTGGGATTTCTAAACTGCCTTGAGATACAGGGAAAGGTGGGGTATAAATATTTTAATAAATAATAATAAATACAGTAGGAGAGAAGAATCAGCAGAGATTCCCCCCCACTCCTGCAAATGGAAATGCTGTTTTGTTGTCATGCTGACAAAACAGCAGTTTGGAGTCCAAGATCATAACCAGCACTTTGAATTGCTAGTCAGGGCAGCTAAATTAGATCTGGTGTAAGCCTAGCAATAACATTCTTTTGAACATTCAGATTACTTTCTGGAACAATTTTTTAAAGTTGTGTGTGTGTATGTGATTACACTTATGTTTTACTGCAGTTATGTGTTGATTTTCTGTAAGCCGCCCTGAGCCGGCCTTGGCAGGGAGGGCAGGGTAAAAATTCAATAAATAAATAAAATAAATATTTATTTAACTTAAATCTTTCATGGCTGGCGTCATAACAATATTTAATTAACATTTTTGGACTTGTAGGCTGTGTTCGTTGATAAGTTTTTTATCAACAAACACGGCCTACAAGACCCCAAATTTTAATTAAAGAAAGTTATTTCTATTTACACAGACAGCTACTCATGTTATGGCTCCACCTGTAAGAAAAGAGCATTATAGGAGTAAAAATCTCAGGTAACATTACAGGCCCTCTTCTATGAAAGTGCTGATATTGCATGTGTTTGCTACTTCCAAATTACTCTGTATGCAAGTGATTATCTGAAGAATGATTAAGTGGACTCATTGTCAGAACCAGCTGTTAATGATGTGTTATAACAATGGGAAGGGCCAAAACAAAAACTGACACATACCTTGACAAATAGAGAATAAATCAAAAAGTGAGATGTCTGACAAGAGCTATTTCCAGGATGCACACACTGACTTATTGTTTATGTTGGGGAAACCATAACATAAATCAATAAAATACATGAAATTTATAGAATGACTTATAGTATGACAGAACCAAAGCTGGATTCAGCACCCTCCTATTATAAAAGTCTGTTTGCCATTCAGAAACATTACCTTCAAGATGCTTTGGCACTGGGAAAAGTCACTATTGGGATGGCTATTCTCATACAGCTTCTTTAAGAGTAAAGGAATCCCATTCCACTTTGCTTGTTTGTCTCTTTCTTTTAACAAAGCTTCCGCAATCTACAAGAGAGGAAGAGACAGTTAAGTTTTCTGATTGATCATGCCACATTATGACTTAAAATTGGTCACTATGTTTTGGTACTAGAACTTGCTGGACTTTATCTATTCATTACTATAGCAATCAAGGACAAACAGATTATTCAGCTTTTAACCAAGAAATTAACAGAAGCACCCACTAGACCAGCTGGAATTCTGAATCTATTCCATGTACATGTTATTTTAAATTGGCATGGTTACAGCAGGGATACCCCAGAGCTCCAAAACTGGGCAACACTAGCCCTTAAAAATTACATACACAGAGATATTTGTGTCCAATAGCTAAACAGTGCTTCCATTCTACTCTGTTTAGCCAGGATGCACAGAAACCTTCCATTTACACAAAAGCATCTTTGAATCTACCAAAATATTTTGGAAAAATAAATATTAAAAGAATTTCTTAGCAAACACAAGAAACTGAATTTTGTTTCAGGAAGAAAACACCAATTCAGCCTATTACCTCTGTGAGGCTACTTTCACTAACGGATTTACTATTTCATACTGGAGGCACATTGTAATATCCAGTGTTTCAAATTATTCATATGGATGCCCATACAATTTGGTCTGTCAATTTCTGCCTGAAAAGCTTAATCTCAGTTTACCATACACTTGGTGTAATTTTGCTCACCCCGGTAAGATCTGATGCATGGAATCACTTTAACCTACATTTTTCATTGGGAGATTTCCAGGCCTAGAGTAAGCTATTCTTAAGTACTGATGTATATTGCTTGTTACTGTTCTTTCATTACAATTGTTTAAAAAGAGGAATAAGGATAATATATTATATTTAAATAAGGACTGTAATTACAGTAGACCAATATACAGCTACTAATGATGAGTCTGTGATGGATGGTAAAGCAGGCTTTTTAAAATGCTGCTTGTGTCAGGGAGTTCAAGAGTTAATCTTCCCTGGAGAGAAAAGCTTATTGATTGGCTGTTCTACTCACTCTGATTGGCCAGCATCAGCTGAGAGAGGAAATGAAACAGCTGATACAGAGGGAAAAAATTAATTCACCTTTTGGTCTCTGTCTGAAATCTAAGGTCTGGATCAGTAAGCAAAGGGTTTGGCTTCTGAAGGAAGAGACTTTGGGAGTCAGTGATTTCTGTCAGGAATTGTCAGAAAAGTACTTCTATAGAGAGAAGAATAAGGACCTCATTGTGTTAAATATATTAGAACTACTCTGAGGGAGAATTTAGATTCTCAGTCAAGAAAGCTACAGAACAGCTTTATATAGACAATGGATACTGGAGAAGGATTTGGCAGAAGGCCTGGGTCACTAGAGAAAAGTCCCACACGAGTCAAATAGTAAAAGAGTTATTGCTTCTTAGGGACAAGAAGAATAACGTCCTGCCAGTGAAAGGGACTCGAAACAGAACCCTGGTCTGTGATAAAGGGGAGAAGCTTAACCTCATTGGAAAACTAATATCTAAAGGGAAAACCTATATCTCTGAAGGGAGAAACCTAGAAGCACTAAGACAGCTATCCACTAAGAAACTGTATTCAAGATTCTGTGTAACAGCTGAAATAAATAACAAGCAAAGCACCCCTCATTGAAAAGATCTTGAAACTCTGAAAATAAGCAACAACAACACTCTCTTTTATGTTGTAAGAATTCAAATCTGTATATATTAGAAAGTTTGTTCTCAGCAACCACTATAGCTGGAATTATCATTTTTATCTATTCCCTGCCTGTTTATTAAAATCTTTATTTGGTTTTGAAAATTAATTTCAAAGCCAGCTTGGTGTAGTGGTTAGGAGCATGGACTCTAAACTGGGAGAACTGGGTTTGATTCCCCACTCCTCCACATGCAGCTGCTAGTGTGACCTTGGGTCAGTTACAAGTTCTTTCAGAGCTGTTCTCTTACGAGCAGTTCTCGAAAGAGCCTAAACTAATATCTGTGACAGGGTGGGACAGTTAAAGCTTATGAAATAAAGCAGAAATATATGCTACTAAAGGGTGGCTCAGACAGTGATGGGAACTAAACATATTTTTGGCAGGAAAATCTGCCTGGGAGTGGGGAAGTGTCAGGGGTCTGTAAAATACTGTTATTAGGACTAATACAAATACCAAATTGGTACAAAATATTTTTAGATGGTATATATAACGCCAAAGGACATTGAGACTTCTTTCATATGTGGTGGCCTTGTATAAAACCAAAAAGATTCCTGAAAGAAATAACACCAAAAAATGCAGAACATATTAAAGTTTAAATTACCAATGGAAGCTAAGAGCATGAGCTCTGCCTAACAAATTACCAAAATTTTTAGAAGAGATATTCAAATACATGGTGACAGTGGTTAGAACTATTTATGCAGTAAAATGGAAACTAGACATCTGTCCACATTTAGAAGAATGGGCAAATAAACTTGCTGAATATGCAGTAATGGCAAAATTAACAACCTACTTGAGAAACAGATCTATTTCAAAATTTGAAGAGAAATAGAGTGTGTATTATATGTACTACTATGCTTGCAGGAAACTAACTTAGAATGAAAAGCAGTCTAAAGTATTATATACAAATGTATGGCAATGAAATAGAAGTAGAATTAAAATCTGTTTTAAATGTAACATCTTGAATACAAATGGGTTGTTGATAAGAGATATATAATAGATCTTCCTTTGCACTAGTTATATTTTTAACTGTTAAAGGGAAGAAGTGGTGAAAATATGTAATATTGAATACGTAGTACTGATGAAACTAATGAGCAAAAATGGATTAATTATGAAGTTTGAAACTTAAAATGTTGAATACAATTGTATCCCAATAGAAGGAAGAATTATTGTATATTATAGGTAATACCTTAAAATTATAACCAAGGGGCTGTAAGGGCAAATATTTTCTGTCTTGTACATTTAGTATTATATGATTGTCCTCAACAAACACAATTATGTTGTGTAACCCCTTTTTCCTTTCCTTTTTCTTTTCTGTACCCCCACTGCCTTCTTAAATAGATTCTAAAAAATTACTTATAAATCACCTTTACAATTCTCTTCTCTCTCTTCCCAACCAATAGGACCTTTACAACCACAAACACCAACCCATGCTGTTACAATGGATTAATATGCAATAGTATGATTTGAGAAAGCTGTTGCCAAATTGGTCCCACAGAAAGATTCTTATCTATTTTGTCAGTCTCGAAGTGCATAAACCACCAAGACAGCATGAAGCAAAGCAAGCATTTTCATCACAAAGAAGAGTCAGCTATAGTAAAACCTCAGAGAACGTACAAAAGAAGAGGTAAAATAAGATACTATTAATTAAAATATACACAAAAGTCACTCTTCTCAGAACAAATGCAAATACCAGCTAGCACGGATATTACATTCATGTACAGCAAACCTCAGTCCCATTCCCAAGCAGTGTTTATGCACTGTAAGGATCTGAAAGAATTAATCTTCCAGGAAGTTTTATTTCCTTTGTACGTTCTATGCTCAGAGAATATACTTCACCGAATGCTAGTTATGCTACCACAAGAATGAAAAAGGATTTTTCTTGTAGCAGGCAAGATTTAAAAACTGCAGTTGTCATGCATGTGAAAATCCAACTACAAAGAGGTTTCTGTATTCTGAGCTTGGCTAAACAGCATGGCCTTAATTACAACATCTATTCAATGCTGAACAGATTGCAATAGCTTGCAGCAAAGGACCACTGGTATTTCTTCAGACATTTTGATGCTTGTAACAAGACAATTATGTGTTTACTCTACATAAAGCACTTTTTGGTAGCATACATCCAAGTCTAGGTATGTTTGAAGTTTACTTTGCTAATGCACAATCCTGCATTCTGACATAAACAGCCAGCAATTCAGAAGATGCCTACCAGAAAGCCTTTCCTCCCAAGCCTTGCTCTCTGCACCTTTGCCTGCAGAAGTGAGGTGGGTGGCAAGAGAAGGGAGGGCTATTTCAGTACTGATGCCTCTCTTTTGGAATGCCCTTTCCCTTGAGGCTCAACCTGGCACCTACTTTACTGTCCCTGAAGGGCCATGCTAAAACATTTCTCCTTACCTAAACTTTTAACTAAAGGCTTTTATCTTTTGGGGTGTTTTTACAGTTGGTTTATATTTAAAGGGCTGTTTTTGTTAATACACTTTTAGGCTACTAAATGTGCCCTCATGCACATATGTCCCTCCTCATTGTGCCCTTCCTTCCCCAGGGTTTCCTGCTCCGGGACACCGCCTGTCTTCCTTTAGCCTGCTCCTCTTCCCCTTGGAGGC